CATATTTTGTATCCTGCAACTTTGCTGAATTCATGTAGCAGCTCTAGCAATTTTTTGGTGGAGTCTTTTGGGTTTTCTGCATAGAGTATCATGTCCTCTGTGAATAGTGAAGGTTTGACTTCTTCTCTGCCAATTTTGATATCCTTTACTTCTTTTTGTTGTCTGATTGCTGAGGCAAGGACTTCTAGGACTGTGTTAAATAACAATGGTGAGAGTGGACATCCCTGTCTTGTTCCTGACCCTACAGAAAAGGCTCTCAGTTTTTCCCCATTGAGGATGATATTAGCTGTGTCTTTCGTATATGGCCTTTATGATGTTGAGGTATGTTCCCTCTAGCCCTACTTTATTGGGGGTTTTTATCAAAAATTGATGCTGTACTTTGTCAAATGCTTTTTCTGCATCTACTGAGAGGATCATATGGTTCTTATCCTTTCTTTTATTAATGTGGTGTATCACTTTGATTTGCAAATATTTAACCACCCTTGCAGCCCAGTAATGAATCCCACGTATTTGTAGTGAATAATTCTTTTAATATACTGTTGGATTCAATCTGCTAGTATCCTGTTGAGAATTTTTGAATCCATGTTCATCAGGGATATTGGCCTGTAATTCTCTTTAGTGGGGTGTTTGTCTGGTTTTGGAATCAAGATAATGGTGGCCTTGTAGAATGAGTTTGGAAGTTTCCCTTCCATTTCTATTTTTTGGAACAGTTTGAAAGAATAGGTATTAACTTTTCTTTAAATGTTTGGTAGAATTCCCCTGGGAAACCATCTGGCCCTACACTTTTGTTTATTGGGAGATTTTTGATTACTGATTCAATTTCTTTACTGGTTATAGGTCTGTTCAAATTTTCTATTTCTTCCTGTTTCAGTTTTGATAGTTTATACGTTTCTAGGAATTTATCCATTTCTTCCAGATTGCCCAATTTTTTTAGCATAAAATTTTTCATAATATTCTCTCATAACTGTATTTCTGTGGTCTTGGTTGTGATCTCTCCTCTTTCATTTGTGATTTTATTTATTTGGGTCCTTTCTCTTTTCTTTTTGATAAGTCTGGCTAGGGGTTTATCACCTTTACTAATTCTTTCAAAGAAACCAGCTCCTAGTTTCGTTGTAGGTTAGGGTTTTTTTTTCCCTTGCCGCTTTAGGGATTCTTTCCTTATCTCTGTATTTTGCAAATTTTACTACAGTATGTCTTGGTGTTGGCCTGCTTTTGTTGATTTTGATGGGAGTTCTCTGTGCCTCCTGGATTTGGATGTCTCTTTCCTTCCGCAGATTACAGAAGTTTTCAGCTATAATTTGCTCAAATAAACCTTCTGTCTCCTTTTCCTTCTCTTCCTCTTCTGAGACTCCTACGATACGGATGTTATTACACTTTATGGAGTCACTGTGTTCCGTAAGTCTGTATTTGTGATCCAATATTTTTCTTTCCCTCCTCTTTTCAGCTTCATTATTTTCCATAATTTTATCTTCTACATCACTTAAATTTCTCTGCTTCTTCCATCCTTGTGGCCATTACATCCAGTTGGTTTCACGTCTCAGTTATAGCATTTTTTATTTTGGCCTGACTAGGTTTTAGGTCTTTTATCTCTGTGCTAAGGGACTCCCTGGTGTCTTCTATGCTTTTCTCAAGCACAGCTACCTATCCTTAGGATTGTTGTTCTAAATTCTGGTTTAGGCATTTTTTTTTATTTATGATTTCCTTATATCTGTTTCGATTAGATCCCTGGCCATGACCTCTCCTTGTTCTTTCTTTTGGGGTGAATTCCTGTTTTGGCATTTTGTCTAGGTCCCTGTCTTCTGTGTGTTATGAAAGCCTGTTATGTTTCCTGCTCCTGAGAGTAATGGCTACGTTAAGAAGAGGTCACTATACTGTCCAGGGCCTGGCACTTCAGGAAGTGTTTCTGGTGTGTGCTGTGTGCAGTCTGCTGTTGTTTTGGCTGTTCTTTCCCTCAGGTTAGTCCTCTGCAGAGCTTCTCCTTGCCTGCAGTGGGGAGTGTTTGGACCTTGTCCACTGTGTGGCAGGTTCTAACTAGATGTGCTTTGGTCTGCTCGTTAGTGTGGCAGGTTCTAACTAGATGTGCTTTGGTCTGCTTGTTAGTGTGGCAGGTTCCAACTAGATGTGCTTTGGTCAGCTTGTTAAAAGAGGTTAAATCCTATTTCCCCTAGAGCTCAAGCTTTGCAGCACTCTATGGTCAGCAGACTTGTTGCATGCAGGGGGTTTGTGCTGGGCTTCTGGGGGAGGGGCCCACTGCTACTCTGGCTCTCTGGCACACCTGCCCTAGTTCAGGGGGGTGGGGCTTGGTATAATAGGCTCAAGCCTCCAATGTTGGCACTGTGCTTATAGGGGAGGGGGCGGAGCTCACACCACCGCTGTTCCGGAAGCACCCACAGAAGAGTGAACAATCTCCCCTCATGCGTCCCAGGCATCTATTAGACCCCTGCTTTCACCCTGTGTCCGAGCCATCTGCTCACCTGACAGGGCACTGCTCCTATGTTTTATCTCAAGTCCACTGGCTGGGTTTCAAAACTCCAAATTTTAGGAAGCCAGCGAGACATGGACCCATGCTAATCCTCTGGGAGAGAGTCTCGCTGCACTGTGGCTGGTGCTAATTTGTGCTAGAAGGGCAGTCACATTAATGCGCAGGGGCTTGGAGTTAATGGTAAAGTGCAGCCAAAAGCAGTTGGTTAAGCATCTGACTCCACTGCAGCTCAGGTCATGATCTCAGGCTTGTGAGATCAAGCCCCACATCAGCTCCACTCAGCGGGGAGTCTGCTTGAGATTCTCTCTCCCTCTCCCTCCAGCCCCCCACCACTCTCTCTCTCAAAGAATCTTTTAAAAAAATACAGTTATATGGGTATAAAAATTATAAAAATATGAAACACATGACAGAAATGGCTTGTAACTAATTAAATAAGAATCCATGCATCCATTCTTTTTAAGATTTTATTAATTTATTTAAGAGAGTGAGCGAGAGAGAGAGCACAAGCTGGGGGAGAGGCAGAGAGAGAAGACTCCCCACTGAGTGGAAAGCCCAATGTGGGGCCCAATCCCAGGACTCTAGGATCATGACCTGAGCCAAAGGCAGAGGCTCAACCGACTGAGCCATCCAGGTGCCCCCCATGAGTCCATTCTTATAATAAAAAAATAAAGGAGGGGCACCTGGGTGGCTCAGTTGGTTAAGCGACTGCCTTCGGCTCAGGTCATGATCCTGGAGTCCCGGGATCGAGTCCCGCATCGGGCTCCCTGCTCAGCAGGGAGTCTGCTTCTCCCTCTGACCCTCCCCCCTCTCATGTGCTCTCTCTCTCCTCTCATCCTCTCTCTCAAATAAATAAATAAAATCTTTAAAAAATAAAAAAATAAAGGAGATGAAAATTTCAGCTTGTAAATATAAGTGCAATGAGGGAGTTAAAAATCACCAGTCATAATCATCACAGTAATAACTGATTTAAAAAAGAATCATTAATAATTCTAAAATTAGTAGGTAAAAGTTTGATGAGGAACAGGACATTTATATAATTTCAAAATGTCCTCACAAATTATTTATTAGTTACAAAAGAAAAAAATTAACTTTACAGTGGAGAAACTTGGCAGACTCTATTTTTTTTAAAGATCTTATTTGAGAGAGTGAGCAAATGAGAGAGAGAGAGAGAGAGAGCATGAGCAGGGGAAGAGGGAGAAGCAGACTCCCCGCTGAGCAGAGTCCATTGTGGGACTCAATCTCAGGATGCTGGGATCATGACCTGAGCAGAAAGAAGACACTTAATCGACTGAACCACCCAGGTGCCCCTTGGCAGATTCTATTTTAACCAAAGGTTCAAACTTAACAACATCACCAATAATGAGATAAACTGACATCTATGTCCACTGATATGATGCACTGAGAGGGACAATATTACTTCTGTGGCATTTCTGCCAAAATGCAAAAACTGGATCTGATCATGAGGACAGACTATACAAATGGGAGGATGCTTTACAAAATAACTAGTACTCTTCAAAAATGTCAGTATCATAAAAGATTTTTTTTTGAAGTTAAGAAACTATTATAGATTAAATGAGAGTACAGGGACATAACAACTAAATCAAAGTGTGATCTTGAATTGGACCAGTTGAAATGGAATGGATAACCTGTTTAACTATCGAAAACTACTACTGATAGTGTTCTGCCATCTGAGAGAACCAAAAATATTAAATTAAAAACAGTGCAAGTAAAAAAGCAAGCAATAATTAACTAAGAAAAAAAATGGTACTATAAAGGAAAAATACTTGACTGAACAGTAAGCAATATTCACACACTTAACCATGCAAACACTATTAATTACTAAAAATAAGATTTTATTAAAAATATGGGGATACAGATGAAGAAAAAAAATATGGGGATACAGGAAATGGTCAGGAAAGTGGTATAAATAAACTAATAGGAAAATCAACAGGATTTTTTTTTAAAGATTTTATTTATTTATTTGACAGAGAAAGACACAGTGAGAGAGGGAACACAAGCAGGGGGAGTGGGAGAGGGGGAAGCAGGCTTCCCACGGGGCAGGGAGCCCGATGCGGGGCTCAATCCCAGGACCCTGGGATCATGACCTGAGCCAAAGGCAGACACTTAACGACTGAGCCACCCAGGTGCCCCTCAACAGGATTTTTCTTAATGGGAAATCAACTGAGAATGTCTAAACTTAATAAATTAAGAAATAACACTATATTATTTAGAAATACAGAGGTTAATATTGGAAGCAATAGCTAAAAGTTGAAAGCATTTACCTCTGAGGAGCAGCAATGAAGGGTGGGGAACTGCTGTTTTTTATTTTTAAGCTTTTGAGTATTAACTGAACATTTAACTATATGTGTGTATATTATTTTAATTTACAAAATTAAAAATCATTTATTTTTAAACAAGGAAGAAACATTGTCAAAAATAGCTGACAGAGAGAAGAAAGCAAAATGAAATATTTACTAAAAGTACCACAGTACCAAAAAGAAAAGTACCATAGTACAAATAAGGATACACAGGCCCTTTATTTCTCAATAGTCCTCGAGCAAGAGTGTATCATAGCACAGAACTATTCATTTACATAAGGAAATAATATCCAAACAAGCTGAACTGTTTTCAGTCTACTCTGTTTCATAGGCAAAGAATGATGTATTTTGGAAATATTCTCATCAAAAATGCTTAAAATAGTAAAAATTCAACACCTCAAGGAATAAGCTTTGGATATCTGGAATATAAACTTGTTAGTTCCTAATAAGGATTACTGAGACACTAATTATCAGTTTCAGGCTTCTGTCTTCTTCATTTCAAGAGCCATCATACCAGTTTTCTTTAGACTGCCTGGGCTGGTTTGGGCCAAGATCTAGTCAATATGTAGTCTGACAGAGATGTGGGTAAATAAGATAGAGGAATGAAGAAAAACAGAGAGTCCCAGCCAGCTGAATATCGAGTGCGGGGATGCACAGATGTCAAAGCATGTTCCATGCAGTCAGTGACCAGGTTCAGGTTTGTGCTACATTTCAACAGCCCTTGTTTGACACCATCGTAATCTGTATACAAAAAGAGAAAGGGTGGTCAGCAATCTTATTCCGTGTATTTTTTTTAAAGATTTTATTTATTTGTTTGACCGAGAGAGAGCGAGCATGAGCAGTGGGAGAGGCAGAGCGAGAGGGAGAAGCGGGCTCAGAGAACGAGAAGCAGACATCCCCCTGAGCAGGGAGCCCGATGTGGGGCTCGATCCCAGGACCACGGGATCATGAGCTGAGCCAAGGCAGATGCTTAACTGACTAAGCCACCCAGGTGCCCCAATATTATTCCTTGTATTTTAATATTAAGATCCTGTTATACCAGGGTGCCTGGGTGGCTCAGTCATTAAGCGTCTGCCTTCGGCTCAAGTCATGATCCCAGGGTCCTGGGATCGAGCCCCACATCAGGCTCCCTGCTCGGTGGAGAGCCTGCTTCTCCCTCTACCACTCCTCCTGCTTGTGTTCCCTCTCTCACTGTCTCTCTGTCTGTCAAATCAATCAATCAATCAATCAATCAATCTTAAAAAAAAAGATCCTGTTATACCCAGTCACAGAAGTCTAACTACATTTAATTTCTACAAGGATTAGGCTGATCAGATCTATGCTTCCCAGTGACAGCCACCAGCCAAATGTAGCTGTTGAACTCTTAAAATTTAGCTAGTATGACTAAAAACTGAATTTTTAAATTTTAATTAATCTTAGTTTTAAAACTCAAATCCATTACTGGAAAACGTTTTAGTATTTTTGGAGTTGTCCATGGATGAAAATAATTTACAGTGCTATCCAATAGAAATATAATGAGAGCTACATATATAATCTTAAATTTTCTAGCTGCCACTTAAAAAAAGGAAACAGGTGAAATTAATTAATTTTAATAATACAGTTATTTAATCCTACATATCCAAATACTATCATTTCAGTATTTATTATCAATATAAGGTATTTTTTATTCTTATAAGTAATGCTAGTGGCAACTCTAAATTTTCTTAATCTACAGATGAAGTATTTCCTAGGAAAATTTAGCATCCAAGTTTAGATATGCTGTAAGTGTAAAATACACACCAATTCTCAAAGACTACTAAGAAAAATAATAATAAATACCTTATTAACAACTTTATATTGATAATAACTCTATGAATAATTTCAACTCCCTTAATTTTTTTTTTTTAAGATTTTATTTATTTGTCAGAGAGAGAGCGAGAGAGCATGAGCACAAGCAAGGGGAGTGGCAGGCAGAGCAGGCTGAGGTAGAAGCAAGCTCCCCACTGAGCAAGGAGCCCAATATGGGACTTGATCCCAGACCTCTGGGATCATGACTTGAGCTAAAGGCAAACGCTTAACCAATGAGCCACCCAGGTGCCCCTCAACTCCTTTTAAATCATGAAATATATATATCCTTTTTTTTAAAGTTTTTATTTAT